CACCCTGGCACAGGGCTTGCTGGCACTGTAAATGGTTTGCTAATTTATTGTATCTATGAGAGTGATTTAGGTTTATTAAAAAAAAAACCTTTATAAAACTATGTATCTTTCTTCTGTTGTAATACTTGCTTGCTACTATGCTAACTCATAAAAAATTAAATATGAGTAAAGCCAAATTCTAGGATCTTTTAGTATTCAAAAGTATATTTTTTTCAAGAGCAGGTGGACTTCAGCTACGTTATTCTTTGTAGATCATAAGTTATCTTTATACTAAGAGGTTGAGGAAAGTTCCAAGGTTTAGTAGATTTCACATTACTGTTCTTGAGTCTCCATTAATCCAGGGGGAGGGTTCCTTCTTGTACTTAGATTATGTAACTTTGATAAATTAAATGTATAACTTCTTTTGCTGAGCAGGCATAGAAGAGATTTCACAAAAAGGGTAGAAATAAAAGGAACTCCTAGCAGGTTAGTACAGAAGCTGTTATTTCCCTGATGAGTGTTCTACAAAGACCTGAACATTCTTAGATAGGATGTCCTACATTAATTAGACAGAAGTTGCTAATTACCCAAGTGTGGGGGCCAGGCATGGGAATGGACATTAACAAATTCAATCCTAGTCAGGATAATCAGGAAATATTTTGTAGATACTTGATCAGAGACAGATTTTCAATAAGCATAGAACAAAAAAAGATTCTGGGTCCTGGAGGATCAAAAGGATACTCATTAGGACTAACGAGCATCAAAGAACTAAGAATTCTGACATTTGTCTTTCTAGTTCTGGAAATATTTTAAATGCATTTTCTATTCTTAAGGAATTGACAGATTAAGGGCAGTGGTGTGGGAGAAAATGAAGCACACTAAGTAATGAGGACTGTGAGTTGGCAAGATGACATAACAGGTAAAGGAGCTATTGTCAGGCCCTGGGATTACGGTTTGAAGGAGAGAACCAACTCCCAGAAGTTGTCTTCTGACTTCCACAAGTGCTGTGATGGCACACACACAACCACACATCATAAACACACAAGTAAGTGTCTAAATGTAAAAAAAAAAATCTTAAAGAATGAGGATTATAAAAAGTTTTTCTGTGGAAAAGAAGCTTCCGTTGTGTATATTAAAGATGAGTTTTAGATGGCAGGAACTGTTCAAATATGTTCTAAAATGAGATTGAATAGGGGATAGGAATGAGAGTTAAGAACCATTGGAAGTCAGGCCATGGTGGTACACACCTGTAATCCCAGCACTCGGCAGGCAGAGGCAGGCAGATCTCTGAGTTTGAGGACAGCCAAGGCTACATAGAGAAACCCTGCTCCCCCTCACCAAAAAAAGCCCCAAAACCAAGAGAGGGCCGGGGAAGAGAGAGAAACATTGGATTTTGCAAATGTCTCTTTTTAAAAGTGTTAAGTGGGAAAGGGTGCATAGCTTCGTATATGCAGACAGGCATTTGCTAGTTTGGATACCAGATCAAAGGTTGAATGCCTTCAAAAGATGGTAACTTCAGGTGGCCGGTGGTCTCCGTAAGACTAAAAAGCATAGGAATAACCTGCCATCTGTTTCCACCAATGGTGTTACTGTCAAAGATCATTTCTTTTTGAAACTTAGGTCTCCATTTTTTCTGACTGAGCAGAGACATGAACTAATGTCACCTCTCCCAGCATGATGAGAAAGTTTAAGTTCTATCCATCCTAGATATCCCTAGCTAGCTAGCTATCTTACTTGTTCACTCAAGTACAGTGAGCTGGCCTACCATTCGTTTTACCTGATTTTATTTCATGTCTTTTAGCAGTTTGATGTTAATTTAGTAGACACTGCTTCGACTAACGTCTGAATGCTGAAGAGAGCATTCATTCAGCAGATCAATACCTTGGCCCTACATGTATGAGGTACTGTGCTATGCACTAGTTACACCAAGAAAAAGTAAAATGTGTGTGTCTTGGCCCCCATGGAGCTTCTGCTTTGGTGTAGGACAGTGCAGTGTAGCAGTGTAAGAATCACATACAGAAGGGCTAGAGAGATGGCTCAGTGGTTAAGAGCATGGCCACTCTGCTTGAAGACCCCCAAGTTCAATTCCCAGCTCCCACATGCTGGCTCACAGCCGTCTGTAGTCTTAGTCCTGGGAGCCTGATGGCCTTCTTTGGCATTACATGCACATAATGCACACACACCCAGGCAAAACACACATACATACATACTAAATTAAAAAGAAGAAAAAAAATGCTAACAGTGTTTTGCTAAATTCTGAGAAGAGTCATGACAGTGTTTGTTAGCTTGACCTTGACCAAAGCTGGAACCACTTGGAAGATGGGCCTGTGGAATACTAACACCATTGTGCTAAATTCTACAGAGGATTGGTGGTTAGTGTTAATTATCAGTTTGACTAAAGCTGGAACCACTTGGGAGATGGGCCTGTGGGGGATTATCTTGGTTGTGTTAAGTGATTGTGGAAACACTTTTCCTAATTGTAGTCAGGAGCCATCCCCCACCCCCAACCTCCCGCATGTCCCCTGGATTGTATAAAGTGGGAGAAAGAGCTGAGCAGCAGCAATGATGCCCTTGCTTCTTGCTGATGGATGTGTTATGACCAGCTGCTGCCCCTGCTCCTGCTGCCTTGAGCTCCACAGTGATGGACTAGGCCTCGAACTGTGAGCCGTTGTGTGCCACAATAACCCTTTGTCCTTAAGGAGCTTTTGTCAAGATATTGTCCTCACGGCAACAGAAAAAGAAACAGATAAGAGGGCAAAAGGACTCCCAGTCGACATTAGACGGCTTGACAAAGTCAGTGTCAAACTGTAAGAAACATGGTGTGCTAAGAAAAGGGCTCAGCCAGAGGTAAGACGGGTGGAGGTAGCTGATGAGGATGGGGGAGAAGTCTTACTACAGGGCAGAAGTGGAGCTGATGAATGGGTGGGAGGGAGTGGTTCCTGACCTTTACATGCTGTGATAGACGGACGGACGGGACCTTCATGTATGAGGAGAATTTACTGGTTCTGGTGAGTGTTCACTTGGTAGTTGTGATCTTTAATAGTCTTCACAGGAAGACTATTAAATATATCCGGAAGATAAGCCTTAAGTGTTGATGGGTGTGTGGAGAGGGATGGTTTAGGGAGAATGTCTTCATGCAGTTTGTACTCATTTATTTGGATAGTTATAATTGGTGTTGTAGTTACCACCAAGACTGTGTTGTCATTTTGTTTTTAAGATTTATTTTTATTTTATGTATTTGACTGTTTGGCCTGCCATATGAGTGAATGCATGTGAATCTGGTACCCAAAGAGGCCAGAATAGGGTACTGGATCCCTTGGAATTTGGGTTATAGACAGTTGCAAGCCACCATGTCCTTGCAGGAGCAGCAAGTACTCTTAAATGCCGAGCCATCTGTCCAGCTCACTTCACAAAAACACTCTAAAATTTGTGTATTTGTATTTGTGTGTGCACAGTTGCCCTGCAGTCTAGAAGGTACAAGCTCCCTGGAAGCTGGGGTTACACGCAGCTGTGAGATGCCAGTCTGGGTGCTGAGAACCAAAGTCCAGTTCTCTGCAAGAACAGCAAGTGCTTACCCAGTGAGCCATCTCTCCAGCCCACTTTCAAATCATGAGCCCCGTGTACTGGCTGGTTTTGGGTCAACTTGACACAAGCTGGAGTTATCACAGAGAAAGGAGCCTCACTTGAGGAAATGCCTCCATGAGATCCAGCTCTAAGGCATTTTATTAATTAATAATCAAGGTGGGAGGACCTGTTGTGGGTGGTGCCATCCCTGGGCTGGTAGTCCTGGGTTCTATAAGAAAGCAAGCTGAGCAAGCCAGGGGAAGCAAGCTGGTAACATCCCTCCATAGCCTCTGCTTCAGCTCCTGCTTCCTGCCCTGCTTGAGTCCCAGTCCTGACTTCCTTTGGTGATGAACAGCAATGTGGAAGTGTAAGCTGAATAAACCCTTTCTTCCCCAACTTGCTTCTTGGTCATGATGTTTTGTGTAGGAATACAAACCCTAAGTCACCCCATAAAATTGAGATTGAAATCAATTGTAAGAGTGATAACACTCAGAAAATTGTACATTTTTAGTTTTTTCTATTACAATGTTTTTGCGTAACATTTTAATACAATAAATACGTTTTGTTGCCTGTCTTTTAAAGCATAAATAAAAACCAGCTTCTAAAAGGCTGATTCCCCACCCCCACCCCCAGGGTGTTGCCATAAATCATGAAAAGATACAAACATGAGAAAATAGAGTAGGATGAATTGCCATGTGCCTATCAGTTAAATACAGCATTTTCCTGTCACTTTGGGTTTGAGGATAAAGTATTATAAAACATGGTCTTCCTTCCTAAGCATAAAAATTTTTTAAAACTTAGACACCTACTTCTATAACCATCAGGTCGAACAAATGTTTTTTCAGCATACACAGGAAAAAAAAAAAGAAACAAAAAGGCTTCTCTACACTTCTCCCCAGTATCAACCACTGATGACTGTTTTCCAGAGTGGAGGTATGCTACACATACAATACTCTCTCTGTGTGGCAGTTTGATTTGTCAGTCCTTTGCTTCTGCTTCTTTGTGTAGTCCTGGCTGTCTTGGAATTGTCTCTGTAAACTAGGCAAGCCTCAAACTCTAGATCCTCCAGCCTCTACTTCTGAGTGCTGGGATCAAAGGCACCAACCCTGCACAGCTTCATAGGCTGATTTTTGTATTTTTGAAAGTTGCTTCAGCCTGGCGGTGGTGGCGCACACCTTTAACCCCAGCACTTGGGAGGCAGAGGCAGGCGGATTTCTGAGTTCGAGGCCAGCCTTGTCTACAGAGTGAGTTCCAAGACAGCCAGGGCTACACAGAGAAAACCCTGTCTCAAAAAAAAAAAAAAAAAAAGTTGCTGCAGAAATGATTCTAAAAACATCTATTTGCACTAAAGTGACTCTGTGTTCTAAAAGATGCTTCATTACTGAACTTACAAAAGTATGTATTTTAAATGCAATTTTCAAATTATTCAAAGTACTGATATTCTAGTTTATTACCCTTTATACAATTTGACTCCGTCGCTGAGAGACACCACACAGACAGCCAAAGAAACCAATGAGTATCTGACTGAGCCCAAACAGGAGCTCGAGGATTCCAACAAGCAGGAGACTCATAAATACTGAGAAGTGGAAAATCCTGTGTCTGTCTTCTTCAGAGTTGGAGTTGGGTACTCTCCAGTTACTGACCATGTTATCGATGGTGGGGTTTTTAAAATCAGTAGGAGAAACACAAGTGTCATTGAAGAACCACAGCAGGTTGAAGGATTCAGGACGAAAGTTACTGGAGGGAAAAAGAAAAGGGTTAAATGTGCCTACCAAGACAATAAAAGCCCCAGTGTAGTAAAACACAATGTACATTCTTAAAGACTGTATAGCTAAGTCTTAAAGACTGTATAGCTAAGATCTGGTTTGCTGAGCACATTTGCAAAGCCCTAATGCTTAAAACCCTGTCTTAACACATTGTGTCATTCTCTATAGAACAGCTGATCTTAAGATGAACCATCTAAGACTGACCCTCTCTCATGTCAGGATGAAAATAAATATCAAAAGTGTCAGAGGTGTGAACCTGTCTGTGTAGCCTTTCTGCTTATCAAAAGTAGGAAAGCAGATGAGTGTTCTCTCTCTCTCTCTCTCTCTCTCTCTCTCTCTCTCTCTCTCTCTCTCTCTCTCTCTCTCTCTCTCTCTCTCTCTCCCCGTCTCTCTCTC